TCACATACCACTGATAAGCGTGCACCTATTTTCTTACATGTTAACAAAACTGCTGATCTCAAATAAAAGGGCATCCAAAAATACAATAGCTGAGTATTCAAAGTGGGTATTTAAAATGTAGTCTTGTATACAGAGAACAAGGCTTTCTGCCCACTGAACTGATAGGAATCACTTCTAGTTAAATCTTAAATACATGTATTACAGTGAAACACTGTTGGATAGTGCTCCATCATAAATCAGTCTGTGTTCTTGAGGGCACTGTTTTTCGAGATGCTTTCTTTAAGAATAAAGCCCTGTGTTGTAATGAATGTGTGCTAACTGATCCCCCCAGCTATTTGTATTTTTTCTATTTGTATCAGTGTCAGAGTTGAGCTTTGTAATAATTTTTTTTTTTGCAGTATTTTATTTGTAGTCTTCATTATTTCAAGTTAAGGACATGAAACTCTTTATACACCCAGAGTCTGCACTGGTTCGTTTATATCCTGTATTTTGTTAACATGTTACCATGATTGCTAATTTTCATGACAGTTGTTATTGTACCATCAATGCTTAATGGCAAGGCATCATTATTCAATGCTGGTCAATCAGGCACTAAGACATGTGCAAGACATCAGGCTGAACCCATATAGATGTCGTGCACTCCCCTGCTAATGAATGCAGTTTTGTAAAAAGGTTTAAACACGGTTGGCATCCTTAATGTAAGGTTTGCAAAAGCTTATTTGGGAACTGCTTTGTGTTTATATGGAGCAGATCTAAACATGTCAAAAACAGAGCTGGACCCATTGTATGCAAGTGTGTGTGAAGCTACAGAAAGGAGTGAATCATTTTGGATTTTGAAACGTGGAAAGGCAGCACAATTTCTGACATGGCCAGAGCCGGGGGCACTGATTTGCCAGGGACGTCGGTGTTCGGTAATGGATGTGGGACTTGTTCTGCAAAGCAGTGGTCACCATGTGTGTGGAAGAGGTGATCCCTGAAAGCGGATGGTGTCATTCATCAGCTCACAAAGTTGGCACTGGCTGGAGGGAGCCTCCAGCACACCAGTGGTCAGAGATTAGGAACTGCGCCGAGAAGCCAGGATAGAGGGTCAGGCATTTAGGAAGGAGGAGCAGAAGGAAACTCAACAGGAGTGGGACGTGCTTTCTGCATTGTTAGTCCAGCATGCTCTTCCAATGCATCAGTTAATATTATCCTCGCATCTGCTTTAGTTACTATTTCCATGTGGTTTTGCACCCAAATGTTTTGGGCTGCTGTCCATGATAAACTAGATGGAACTTGGTTTAAAAGCACAGATTTTTCACCTCTTCTAACTCAAAGTAGAATGAGCCCTTGTGCTCCTAGAGTTTTGAGTATGAAAGGAACAGTAGACGTTGGCTGTTAACGAGCTTCAGCACGCGGGGCTCCAGCAGAACTTGGTGAGAATTCAATGCCTAAGCTGCATCGACTAAATGGTTAATTCATCTCATATCAACAGCACTATGATTCATAATGTAAACTTGAGGAATCCTTGATGTTTCAGTCACACATTCCTCTTAATTTGGCCATGCATTCTTTTAAAGCTGCAGTGTGCTAACTTAATAAAATGCAGCATGCAAATGCACAAGTTTTTGCCTTCAGGCATTTTAGCCATGGATGTTTCAATGGGTGTCTTCTTTCAAGTATATATTCTTTCTTAAATTATTTACCCTGTAAACATGCTTTGCATTTTCAAAGAAGAATCTGGGCTTCCTCATTCACCAGATTTTGTTGAATTTAAGGTGTAATAGAGATAAAAGACTATCATCTGCTTCTCGGGAGCATGTTAGCCTTTGGGATTTTTATGTAGTGAATGTTAGGCCTCATTTTCTTCTCCTTTGGTATTATCACTCCCTCCCCCACTTAAATTCCTTGATGCTTTGCCTAGAGCAATACCCACTGGCAGTGTCTGGCTGTGACAGTACTATAGGCTTCCCTACAGATGGGTCCTGCCAATGCCAACCATTGTTCTACCACTGTGAGCTGGCTTGACTGTCTTGGATCACTCAAAACCCCCTTTCCTCTTGCTTTTTTCTTTACTCTGAAGGGTTGCCCTTGCCTGTTGACTATGAGATCTGAAATGTGCTGACACCCAGAACTTGTGTTCTCTCTCTGAGCAGCAGCTCCCAGACTCAAACTTCAACAGGCACCAGTTGCTAAGCCCTCCTCAGGACTGTCTTGCTGCTACCAAATGGCTCTGTCGTTCTTGTAGCCTCACTCCTCTGGCAGTTTGCAGTTAGTTTAATTTCACTTGCTCACTTGAAAGTAAAACAGTAAAACTCAATGTTATTCTTTTTTTAAAGATACAAAATTAATCTTTAACTGTGAGCTTGAATATTAAAAGTATATAATGCTTCAGTGTAGGAGTCTGTTGATAACATCCATCCTATTTCATGATTAATTTGTTCCTTTTAATATGATATTCTTTTGCTGCACCATGCAGACTAATTCAGATTCCTAGAAATTGAACTTTGATATGTATTTCCTCGATTCACACTGTAAGTGAACCTTCAATTAGTAGATACAGGTGGCGGCATGCCTTGCTCAATGTTCTCTTGACAAGGATTTTAGAGACGTGGACGCTGATTAAATAATCTTGCAAGCGGGTGTGTACTGCCAGAGTATTAAAAATAAAGCATGTAGAGGATTTGATGCTTTTTTTAATTTTTCTTTAATTTTAAGTCTCAGACAGTGAAATGCTTTTTCAGTGGGCCGGAGATAGGAGGAGTTGATTTAAACACTCAGTATGTTATGTATGCCTTTGACTAACTATGTGTTAGATTAAGCGAGTTTCACTCACAGTTAATCCTTTGTAAATTAGCATTATGGATGCCTTGGGGCCCACATCCCACAAATAAAATGGTTGTCAAGCCAGCTGCACTGTGTATTACTTAAGGCTGAATGTTTTAAGAGTTTTCATGCTTTTAATCTATTTCACTGCTGAGTTTCAATTTTGCTGAGTGTCTTTTCAGGAGTGATGAGGCTGAGTGAGTAAATATGTATTCTGGTTTTCATGCATTTGCCTGGGCAAATCGTTTGTTATCAGGTGTTTGGCAGAGAATGTCACACCCCACCACAAAAGAGAAGCTTGTAAGTTCAGGTGTTAAATTGAAGTGCAAACCAAGAAGAACCAAAAGGCCTTAATTAGCTTTATTTTGTTAGCCTGCTACACTTTTTTTTTAGGGAAGAAAAAAAAAAAAAGAGATTGAGAAACATCCCTCCCTCCTCGTCATCCTTTTGGCAGAGTAAATATTGCCTGTTAAGTTTGAATTAGCTGTCATCGCAAAAGAATTAATGCTGTGGTTGAGCCTTTCTAGTGAGGAAGGGAAAAATAAACGAGACAGATCTTAGTTCAGCTTTAAGTGATAAATGAGGACAAAGCAGCCCATTCATCTCCTGCTAGGAAAGTGGACACAAACACTAAAGCAGTTTTGCGGAAGACGTGTCAGCAAATGTGATCATTTTGTAACCTGTCAGGAGGATAGAGAGCTAGTCCTTTTAGAGTGTCACAGGGGAGGGTGTCTGTCTGATGTGACAGTTTTCATCCATCCATTTACTGCTTTTTCTTGAGGTGGGGGGGTAAGCAAGGAGAGAGATGGAGTTGGTTAAAACTGCATTTTTCTTTACACTTTCTAATATAATTTATATGCATATCCACCCGCATCCAAATGAAGAACATTTACCAAGGAAAACTCCCCTCTGCTCTCTAGAGTTTCTTCTTTCTTTCACTGTGTGAAATAGGCTCATTTTAACATGTTACATTCCCTGTCTTCAAGTTGGAGACTTGTACTTGGTTTGATGTTTCACAAAACACGGATTTACCTCTTCTTACCATTGTTTGGTTTGTGAAGGCTTTGTTTTGTTTTGCTTTGGTTTTGTTCTGCAGAAGCACGAAAGAAACCAAAAATAAATATGACTTAGCATGGTTTTGTTGAATTGGTGGTTGGGGTTTTTTGCTACACCTCTCCAGTTCTGATGATATGCTTCATGTACAAATACGTTTTGCAAAAGTTCCTGCTTCATTAAGAGCCTATGAAAATATTCTTCCTCCTCTGTGAGAATGTAATAACAAACACTGAATTCTTACAATTCAGAATCCTCCCATAAAATGCCTCAGATTCTACTGTTTGTTGATCTATTAATTGTAATTGACCTATTAATTTCAGGCAAAATCTGAAGCAATGTGGTGTCTGACTTTTGAAGCAGGGATTTCTCCCAACAAATGATCGAACAATACTAGGACTTTCTACTTCTGGCACCTTTTTATTATTGCTAATTTCCATTTTTTTTAATACTACATAGAAAATGTAACATTTGCCTATTACCATAAGTAAAGGTATGCTACAGAGACAGGAGATGCTTTTACAACGTAAGCTTCACAGTTTGACACTTGCTTCTTTATATCATCCTTTTCTTCAAAACTATCTTTTATACTTTTCCCTTGGTATTTTACTACAAGTAAGTATCTCATTGATATGTGTTTCCTTGAAATCTTGTACCTTAATAGTAAAATCCCTTGAAAATTAGTAAATTGTTTCTGTTCGGATTAAAAAAATGTAAAGATTTCAGAATGGCTTTAAAAAATATTATGTTATTTTCTATTACAGACCACCCTCTCTGGATTGCATGAACTAATTATTTAATTTGTTCTTAGAAGATTAATAAATTGTAACATGATGTATTTCAGTTATTCTAATATATGTGTAAGTGCATGCATAATTTAAAAAAGTCTAATTCTTTTCTGAATGCAAAAGATGGATTTAATAGCTACATAAAGAAATGTTTGGAAGCATTGGAAATGGAAAAAAAGTAAAAAACAATCAAGATACAGGGAATGGTGTAGGAAATCCTGTATTTCTGGGCATTTGTCTTTTCTCCAAAATACTTATCTGTGCACTACTGTTCATGATTTTATATATATATTCTGCTGGTTTGGTTTGATTTATTCACTATTTTTTTTTTTTGTCTCTTCTGCTTTTCTTCAGGATCATCCAAAACCGGATTTTGATCGTTGTTCTGGCAGTCATCATCATCTTCACCACCATGATGGCTATTTTTTTTTCTGTCAAGGGACGCTGATATCTTTGTTCTTCACTAAATAGCAACAAACTGCTTGTTCTGAGTAATTAAGACAAAGTGGTCACATGAATCATTCTCTTGCACTGACAGAGTCTCGCTCTCTTTTCCACTCTTCAACTCAGGTGCAAGTGGTATAAAATATTTTGTATTATTGATGGCATAGTTGATGGCATGTGGGATTGATTTTTTTTTTTTTAACCTTTTTTTGTCTTTATCTGAGTGTTTTCAGAATCTTAATATTTGTTGGGGTGAGGATGTGTTCCACTGTAAAAAGACTTGACGTGTGTTGAGTTCTACCCCAGACAGCCTGTAAGTTGCCAGAGTTTATTGAGTGAAGAGCG